TATAAAAAAAAATTTATAAAAAAAATTATAATTTCATCGATATTATTAATTTTTTTTTAACGAAATCATAAAAAAAAATTTCCAAGACAAACAGATTGTTTTGAGTCACTGTTGTAAAATAAATAAAATTATTTATTTTTTTGTACATAACTATTATATTATAGTAATATTATTGCCATATTAACATAGTTAATAATCTCTTTTACTTCCACTCAGTGTTGTCTGTGCGTGTTTTGGAGACTAAGAACATTCAAGGCAACGAAGTTTTCCCCGACCTCGAGCAATGGCAAATCAGTGACGACCGCATCGAGTTGCCGCGCACTGCGCTCGTTGAGAACAGCGAAGGCGGCCTTGTGCGCATAGTATTCGCTGCTTTCGATCGTTTGGAGTCGATCTTGAAACCGTCTTACGACCACTTTGACACAAAAAGTTCGCGCAGTTATGGTAAGTTTTACTATAAAAAAAAACGTTAACTTAAATTTATTACTGAACACGTTTCAAAATAGTAAAAAAAAACGTTAACTTAAATTTATTACTGAACACGTTTCAAAATAGTACGCAACACAGCCTTGCTGGCTAGCGAGCGCAACGATTCGGGCGCAAGCGCTGATTTACAACAACAACGCATACGTATACTCAATAGTAAGGTGATATCAGCGAGTTTGGGTAAAGGACGACACATACAACTCTCACAGCCCATAAAATTAGTCTTGCGACACATAAAAACCGAAAATGTAACCAATCCGACTTGCGTCTTTTGGAACTATATAGATCAGTAAGTTACATTTTTTGTACACACACACACACACACTTAAATTATAACATAAATTATATTATAAAATTTGAAATTGATTAAATTATAACATTTGAAATTTATTGTGCACCACTTCATTCCCATTCACACAGCGCATGGTCAGCGAATGGCTGCACTCTGGAGTCCACAAATCGTACGCACAGCATTTGCATGTGCAATCATCTCACCAACTTTGCCATACTCATGGATGTCATGGACGAGCACAATCATTCGCTGTTCGGCGTCTTCGATGGCAATATGCGCATACTCATCTACATAAGTGTCGCCATTTGCTTGGTGTTCGTCGTYATCGCTTTGCTCACGTTGAAGATATTCAATGGCGTTTTCATAAAGGTAAGCGGGCGACGTAATCGACGTGGYGGTGGTGGTAGTCAAATCGGCGGCGGCAGTCAGCGTCAACGCAGTAGCCGTCGTCAAAATAATATACGCGATCAGACGCATGAAACGCTTGCGATTACCACAACTACGTCAGCGACGGCAGCAACTGCCTCGGGCGGCCAACCGGCACCCACAAATAATATACAAAATATACAACAACAATTGAATTTGCAACACATTCCAAATATAATGGGCGCGGTGGCGGGTGGCCATCTTGGCACAACGGCGCCCACAAATTTCATACAACACAATTCCATACGCAATTCCAATCGCAACAATTTGAATGCGAATAATTTCAACTTGCAACAGCAAGCGGCGGCGGCACAACAACAACAACAGCAGCAACAGCAACAAGTTGTGGCTGCTGCTGCCGCTGCCGTTGTCGTCGCCCAACACAATCAACGCAATTTACAAATGAATAATTTGAATTTAAACTTGAACTTGCAACCGCCGCATCATCACAATCCACACGGACATAACCTCAATCAGCCGGCGACATCCACGCATATGCATGTTAGTACGGCTACGGCACATACGACACCGCATCACGGCAGCATGGAGACCTCGATGAGTAACACCACATCGGTGGCGGCGATGGCGGCTGCGGCCACAATCGCAGCGGCTCTGCAACATGCCGGCAGCAATAATAATTTAAATGTCAATCGCAATAACAGCAATAACAATGTGGGCGCCAACAATCGCTTGAGCGATGCGAACACGAMTACAAATAATATTATAATGCAAGGCAATATGGAAGATTTACAGTATAAGTGGTGGTGGTGGTGAAATATTTAAAGCAATTTACACATGCTTTGTTAACTGTATAATAACTAAAATTTATTTTAAGTAGTTTATAGGTTATRTATATGTAAGTATATGTGTAGCTTAGTTTAGTCGCATGTGAAGAATCTAAAAAAACAGCGTATTTACTTAAGTAGCATTGCATAGCATGTTTGAAAGAAATTTAATTTTAATTTTAAATTATTTTTATTTAATTTTAAACGCATTTCATTGTTATCTGTACTGATTACTGTAGTAGTAAATGTGATATACTATTAAGTATAATTTTTTTTAGCAGTGACGTAAGTAAATTTTATATTTTAGTGCCTTATAATATATGTATGTGTATGCTGATAGCATTTCATAACATACATTTCATAATATTACGCGCTATTTAGTTTGTATGTTTTATGTAGCATTTTTTGTTTCGTTTTAGTAAATTTAGCCTATAGTTTGCATATCCATTTTTATGTTAATTTTTGTTTATATATTTTTTATATAAGTTAGCTTAAAATATATGTATTTAAATTTGACATTTATTTCAAGTCTTATCACATCACATTTCATGCAAAATAATAATTAAAATAATAAATGTCATATTGTCTATTTGAAAACTTGAATTTTTTCGTTCATTTGTCAATGTGTTCATTAATTTAATTAAATTTGTTGTAATTATTGTGTAGTTTTTGTTCTTTAATATTCGTCTCATTTGCTGTTTGTCTACAACCTATCCTATAATATCCAAAAATACCAAAAACCACCACCACTTTACTATAAAATAATTAATACAGTTATAAAACAAAAGAAATACCTAAATTTAAGGACGAAATTAGAAAAAAAAATAT